CTCTGGGAGCCGGGGGGGGGATGCTCCGGGGGTGAGGGGAAGGACCACCCTGAGGGAATACGGGGAGATGGGAGTGCAGGGATGGGCAGGGACGTGGGACAGTGAGGGGACTCAGGGACAAGGGATGCAGGGATGGGGGATGACAGGTGGATGCAGGGATTAGGGCTGAGGGGGGATGCAGGACACACACGGAAGGGGGTCCTCACTTGTAGAGGCTCCGTCCGCCGATGGTCTCCAGGTTGGAGAAGACGCTGAAGTTTTGCATGTGCTTGGGCCAGGACTGGATGTTCAGGTACCCTGTGGGAGGGAAGAGGGGTGTCACGGTGGCCCCGGGGGGCCCCAGGGTGTCCCGGGGTGGTCCCGGTGTCCCCCAGCCCCGCCGCTCACCCGTGATCTCCCGCACCGTCCGGAACACGTTCAGCTTCTCGGGGTCCAGCGCCGAGATGTTGCGCCAGGGATCCCTGCGGGGCCAGAGCCGTCAGCCAGGCTGGGGGGCTGCATCCCCCCGGCCCCCCCGGCCCCGTCCCTCACCCCTCCAGGCCCGTGATGAGGAAGTCCAGGTTGCCCAGGATCTTGGTGCAGTTGATGAAGGTGTCGATGTTGCTGGAGTCCACGGTCTGGTACTTGCTGCCGGCGCCGGTGCCCTCGCAGGCTGTGGGATGCGGGGAGGGTGAGGGGTGGTCCCGCGGCCCCCGGCCCCCTCGGGCCCCCCCAGCCCCGTACCCTTGGGGCACAGCCCCCCACAGGGCTCGCACATCTTCAGCCCGTTCTTCTCCACCTCCATCTTGTCGTTGGGGCAGGCGCGGACGCAGGAGCTCTGGTCCACCACGAAGTTGTCTGTGGGGAGACCCTCGTGGTCAGAGCCCGGCCCCCCCCGGCCCCCCGGCTCCCCCGGGACCCCCAAATCCCGACTCACGGGGGCACTCCCGGACGCAGACGCCCCCGTACTGGTACTTGGTGTCGGGGTTGGGCTCCAGCTGGAAGGTCAGCTTGTTGTAGATGAGGGGCTGGGGGCACAGCGGGACACACTCCCCGCTGTCGTTGAAGTGCCGGCAGGCCTGCGGGACGGACACACGGATGGACGGACGGACACACGGATGGATGGGGGGACGGGGAGGATGGACGGACACGGGGGTGCAGGGGTGTCAGTGCACAGACGGGCAAAGACTCCACTGCCCCCCGGGTAGAACGGGCACGTACGAAGCAGTGGGTGCGGAGGGGGCCGGTGCAGCCCCCCGCACACTCCTCGTGGCAGCACTCGTTGGGCGCCCGCCCGAAGCAGCGCCCGTTGCACTGGGGGGCACAGATGGTCTTCGTCACTGCGGGGAGGGGGGGGTCAGCGGGAGGTGGGGGGGTCCGGCCCAGCCCCCTCGGCCCCCCACAGCCCCCGGTACCCACGTTTCTGGCAGTCCTCGGGGCCGGGCCCCCAGCAGTGCCCTCCGCAGCTCTCGTGGCACGGGGCACCTGCGGGAGAGCACGGGGGGTCACCCCCAAAGCCAGGGATCCCCACCCCCGGCCCCCCCGTGCCCCCCACGCACAGGCCTTGCCGTTGTCCCTCACGATGGGCTCCTGGCGGGTGTCCCGCATGATGTCCCTCCACTCCACCGTGTCCACGTGGCACAGCTGCGCGTTCTTCTCGATGTAGACGCCGCCAGCCAGGATCTCTGGGGGGGCAGGGGGTGTGACGGGGGCACCGACCCCCCTGGACCTGCCCAGCACCACGGCTGGCACAGGGGATGGCACAGCTCCAGCACAGGGACCACGGGGTCAGCCCCGCTCCAGGGGACACCGTCACCCTGTGATGGGGACAGCACAGGGGGCACGGGGGGAGTGGCACTGACCCACAACGGGGACAACGGGGGGGCACAGGGGGGTGGCACAGCTGTACAAGGGGACAGAAACACTCTGGGATGGGGACCTGCTGGGAACGGGCACCACGCTGGACTGGGGACCACGGCAGGATGGCACCGCTCTGGGCTGGGTGCCCGGGGGTCCCACCTGTGAGCTGGTTGAGGCCGAGGTGGCGCAGGGCGTGGGTGGCGTTGGGGTTGTAGTTGAGGAGCACGAAGAGCGCGAACTTCTCCTCGTAGAACTGGGTTCCGCGGATGACGCGCAGGTTCTGCAGCGGCAGCGACGCGAAGACGTTCATGGCGATCAGGATGTAGCCCGTCACCTCCCGGATGGTCTGTGGGCACGGGGGGTCAGCCTGGTGGGTGCACCCCCCCCGTGTCCCCCGAGTCCCCCCCAGCTCACCTGCAGGAAGGAGAGGTCCTGCGCGTGGTCGATGAGGACGATCTCCAGGTTGCCCATGACGATCTCGCAGTTGTTGTACATCTTGTGCAGGGTCTGGTACTGGTGCTGCGCGTCCCCCGTCACGCTCAGCCCGTTCAGGGTCCCTGCACACACTGCGGGCACAGCACCCTGTCCCCACTGCCAGCACAGCCCCCCGGGGCCAGCCACGGCCCCCCCTCCATGGCCACAGCCATGTCCCCCATGGGGTCCCTGTCCCCTCCACGCTGGCCACATCCTCCCCTTGGTGGCCGTGCCACTCATGGTGGCCGTGTCCCCCCCTCAATGGCCATGTCCTTTCCTTTATGGCCATGACCCCCCCATGGTGGCCATGTCCTCCCCTCAATGGCCATGTCCTCCCCTCAATGGCCACGTCCCCTCCTCAGTGGCTCTGTCTCCTCATCAACACTCTTGTCTCTGTCCCGTGCTGGCCACGTCCACACCCCCACCTTCCACAGTGTCCCCTCCATGACGTGTCCCCCCAACACTGGCCACGCAGGTGCCCCCAAAGTGTCCTGGTCACCCCCATGGTGTCCCTGCCACACTGTCCCCATCCCCTCCCTGTGGTATCCCTGTCCCCTCCGTGGTGTCC